CGAGAGGAAAATGAATTTCCCGGGGCCTGCAAGAATTCATTGCTTTTGCCGATTTTAATGCGCGATTAAACCCTGAACATCTGGAGAACTTAAGCCAGTTTCCATAGTCCGGATCCACAGGAAGCCCCTTTGTCACTGTTCTCCATGCTTGGCATGTGTTAAAGTGACATTTCAGATACCTTCCCATCTAATTTCAGTGACTTTTTGTTTGAATTCACACTCGGTGAATGTTAGTGGTATGTGGGGGTTCTGTGTGCTGAGTACATTGACATTTTCTCACCCCAAGGAAGTACGATGCTGCCGCCCAGCCCCCACCCCAACCGTTTTTGCTGTGTGCCAGGTGCAATGGGTAGCAGGGATTGTACAAGAACACAGAACAGGACCTTCTGGCTCGACTCCCTGCTTGGATCCCTCTGCCCTCCTTCAGTTGCTTCTCTCTGCTTAGGAACCGGGAGCCCCAGGGGAAACCTCATTTGGCAGCCACTTGGCCCCAGGGTTTGGAGCGGCCCCTGCAAGCCACAGGGGGTAGAGATCAAGCTCTGTGGTCATCTGGGCTCAGCTCCTAAGCACAGCAGTGCGCGCCCACCTCCCAGGCCAGCGACGCTTCCAGGGCAGACATGTGCCAGCAACCCTAACTGGACCTAGCTCCTCTTCTCGTCATTTGCTTTACGTGCCCGCCCCTGGAACCCGCGGAGAGAGGCAGCTAGTACTCGCCTAAGTAAGTGTGTCTGCCCGCCTCCAGGCTGGACCAAACCTGCTAGGCTCATTGGAGCGTCTGCAGAAAGGAAGTTTTTGCTGCAAACACACCGCATCCTCACTGCTTACCCATACCAAGGGCCACTGTCATGGCCCAACACAGCCAGAGGTCAGAAGGTTCCGGGGACCACTCAGACTGGCAATGAACACGCTTCCCATAAGCCTGGCAACGATTGGACTGTGGCCTCTTGAAACTCAAAGCCAAGGATTTCAGAGAAGCCTTCCAAACAAACGTTCATTGTAACAGATCATGCTTTTTCCCAAATGATTTTTTTTCCCCCTGAAACATCCTAAGATATCAGGGAGCATGGCTACACATCCCCCATGGAAAACCCGCTGTGTGCCTTTCTGCAGTCACAGGCTCTTTATTAAACACAGAATGCTTTGGCCGAAACATCCTTTGGCTTCTCCTCTCGTGCTGATGAATACTATCGGCAGGAAGCAATGAAAACAATACCAGATCCTCCCAACACAGAGCTGGCCAGGGGAGCAGATCCCAAGCGCCAATAAGCCACTGAGTTAAACTATTTAGAATTTATCTTAGTCCAAGCCAAAAAGAGAGGGACTGAGAAGAAAAAAAACCGACTAACCCAACAGAACATACTGTAAACCCTCTGGCAAAAATAGACCAAGCATTCTGGACGGTAGGCACCTGACACTTTCTTGTAATGTTTTGATGTTCCTCGTAAGCAATCATATTTGTTACTAACCAATGTCTTACTTGTTACTAACCAGATCTTTCCCAGGCACCAGCTTGGGATATGCCACAGGGCTCTCAGGAAACTAGCCACGGGAGCAGTCCAAAGAAAAAAAGAAGGAGAGGGAAAGTCATTCAGGTTCCTCTGGAGTTTGGGTTTGCTTTGGTGCTTGGCTGCATCCTAGGTCCTCTAGGGGGAGAGCAAATTAAAGGCTCCAGGAAGTAAACTTGCAGTTAAGATACCTGAATGTGCCCCCTCCGTTCCCCAATCCAGTGCTGTCTTCACGTTCTTCTGGACACCCGGTGTATTGAGAGTTACAAGTCATTAAAACGGACTCTAACAGCCATTTCTATTTTTAGGTCTTCAATTGTCATTAGGACACAAATTTGTATGTCCAGCCATTAAAGGTACTCTACAGGTAACAGCTTATTCATTGTCCTCCAAATTTATTTGACCACCAAAACTGGGTCACCAAGGGCTTCTGGTTTCATATTTAACATGAAAGAGCTTTGGAGTCAAATCACCATTCCCATCCTTACAACTAGAAAAGGCTGGACAAATGTTTCAAAAAATGACTTTTTGGGGTCAATGGGTCCAACCACCACCCTCCAAATCTGGAGAGACAGGTGCATTCAGAGTCACAGCTGAGATCTCCTTGCACGGAGCAGAAGCCACTAAAGCCATAAATTATGAGGAACACTTACATGGTAACTTAGATGAACTGCTGTTGGGGGGGGAAGGGAGGTAGGAGTCGAAAATCCACATAAAAATTTTGACTCTCCCTCTCTCCCTAAATTTATCTACTAATAGTCTGTTGACCAGAAGCCTTATCAATAACAATTAACACATATTTTGTACATGTATTATATACTGTATTCTTAGAATAAAGCTAGAGAAAAAAATATCAGGACAATCATGAAAGTACATTTACAGTACTGTATTTATTGAAAAAACCCACGTGTAAGTGGACCTGCTCAGTCCAAACCCGTATTATTCAAGGGTCAACCGTATTATCAATTATACTTTAAATGTGACAGGTCTAAATACACCAATTAAAATGACAGAGATTAGAGAATAGATTAAAAACAAGATGCTGTTTATCTGCTCTCTATTCTATAAGAAACCCACTTTATAAAGATCCAGAGAGGTAAAAATAAAGGGGTCGAGAAGGATATATACCATGCGAACACTCATCAGAAGAAAGCTGGAATCGTTATTTTAATTTCAGACAAAGCAGACTTCACAACAAGGAATATTATCAGGAATAGAGAGATGACAAAACAGTAAAGGGGTCAATCCTCCAAGAAGACATAGCAACTTTAATGTGTATGCATCTAACAAGAGAGCATCACAACACATGAAGTTCTAGGCCACCAGGGGGCTGGGAGGGAACTCAGAGCCGGTCCCTCCTGGGTGTCAGAGCCTTCCCTTGTCCTCATCTGGGACGCCATTTTGGCCCCTCAAACCACACCCTAGACATCCTTCAACACAGGAACTAGGACACGGGAGTTCGCATAGGCCTCTGAATTTGGACTCCCTACTTCTTTAACTTTGAAAAACATGGGAGTCTGCCTATCTCATTGATCTCTGTCTTCAAATCTTCAGTAAACCTGTCCCAAGAATTCTCAAGAGACTCTCAAGTCTTTGCACTCACCAACCATGATGTGTTGGTGCAATAAGGAATGGCTGAGTAAGTACTGTTCGTGTTGATCAGATGTTACACGTACGCTGTCACTGGCAAACCACAAATTCTCAAGGGCATTTCTAAATCCATAGCATGCATTTTCTCAATTGCTAGATGCTAAATGACACCAGTGCTAGGCCAACACCCAAGAACATAAAGGATTTCTCACACATGCAACACACGTGGTAGCTCTTGTGATAAACCCTCCCTCCCTGTCTTCACCGATAGTAAACCACGGCCGTCTGCACTGTCCTGCCACTTTCCCCACGATCCCAACCCTCTCCCTCCCTCATTCCAGTTTTGTGCAACTTCCCCTCACGGACCACGCCCATCTCTGACCTCTGAAGGCTGGAGTCTGGACCTAGCAGGTTGCTTAATTTTCTTGTGACTCGTGCTGAACCAGCAGACAGAGAAGAACTTTAAGGTGCTGAGAAGCAGAATATCAAGCCTGGATTTGCTCGAAGTAAGTTTCCTGACCAAAGGGAGAGAAAAATAAAGAATATCAGCATCAGAGTCTGACTCTTGGTTTTGGCTTAGGTTGTGATCTCAGGGTCATGAGATCAAGCCCCGTGTTGGGCTCCACACTCAGTGGGGAGTCTGCTTGAGATTCTCTCTCCCTCTGCCCATCCCCCCTGCACACTCTTTCTCTAAAACAAGTACATCTTTTAAAAAAAAAAATCAGTATCAAGGGATCCAAGTAGCATATTCTATATCCTAGTTAACTCAATTCCATGGTTGACTTTTGTATAACAAAGGTCAAATTAAAGCTAACAGGGATTCTCATTTTATGTGATATTTATAAAGTTTATGAGATACTTATCACATCAATTAGGTATTTGGGATACAAATAAAACATTTAGCAGTTAGGAAATTGGCAAAATTTGTCTCTCACCTCATGATGTGGATTGCCTACTATTCAGTTCATAATGAGGTGTACCACTTGGCTTTTCCAGTACAGGCACCAATTTCTCCCACGGCTTACTCTTCCTATACAATTTATGAACACTCACAGTATTTGGGGGGCGTGGGATGCTGGGGAGAGGGTGGAAACCGGAACTCCAATCAGTCACCTTCTGCAAGACGGGGTAATAACTAACCTTGTGGTTTTGTGAGGGTTAACAAGATAATACATGTAAAATGCCCTCCTCATAAAGAGAGCCCAACAAAGGAGCTGTCCAGGGCTTTGTCTTAGCCAACTAAAGGACAAAAAAGCATATGTCCTCAATCAGGCAGGCATTATCAAGTGGACTAGGATTCTCCAGAACACGAGATTTCTCTGTCCTTCCTGGAATCTGCAGACGGGGAGCCACAGGATATGTCCATTCATGAACCAGTGCAGTCAGGCATGAATTTCTTTAGTACATATGTAGGATGCAAACCTGTAGTAATAATTTTTTTTTTTATAAAACTACTTGACTTAGGAAAAAAAAGATCCAATTTTTAGCATGTGCCAATACTGCATTTTCGTTACTCAAGCTGCTTTCCCCTTCGATACGCAGCACCTGTCCGATAGTCAAGGTCAGGGAAAGGCTGTACCAGTGAAATGGCCATCCCAGAATTCTGGTCAACTTGCCTCCAGAGGCCATCCCACAATCTGATGGAGACACACGTCCAGAGCCCCACGCAGGAAATCTCACCGGCTTGACATCTCTAGCCAACGTGGTCTGTAGCTTGAATCTAACTCACTTTCGATTCTTCTTATGTATTTTTGAAAGGACACTTGTACACTTTCAGAAACCTTAAGGGGAAAGAAACAGGGTTGCCATAGGCCCTGTCTCAAACAAAACCAAGGAAGAAGGTCCAAAAATGCAGTATTTGCTTTAATGACTTCGTCGACGACTTCTGGGAAGGATGTGAACACATTAGAAATAACAGCCATTTATTTTAAGTATCAGGTTTTATTAAAAAGTGCATTTTGATTAATTTATGATCTAGATAAGCTGTTAAGATATCAGTATACTCTCTGGAATAGTAACTTTACAAATATTTAAAACAAACAAAATTTTAAAAGCCTTTTTATTTCCTTCACCATTATTGTTTTACAATACAAATATCACCTTGTGAATACACAAAAAAACCCTACGGAAGATAATTCTGCTGCGTAAAATACAGAATGGATATATATACTTCTTCATTCTTAAAAAACTATTTTGTTCTCCACATTGGCAAGTATAGAAGAGAATACTTCCCCAAACATACTCATGTTAGGAGTAAAACTTAGAGTTACATGCAGTTTCTGCACAAATATATTTTAAAGAAATAGATCTCTGTTTTGTTGTTCACCAACAAAATTGTCATGAGAGTATGGATAACTAATTTAGAGCTTTCACGTTTTTTAGTTAAGTGATCATTTTCAAAACTCTCTTTTTAAAAACAAAGTATTCATGGCTATTTTCACTGTATAGTTAAAATCGAACTACCAAATAGGTGATAAAATAATTTAAGTGGTACGTGTCATTGCTACCTGCTCACAATATGGGAACAGGTTCTGACTTTCTGATTAACTCCCCCTTTCTTTAATTCATAGCGATTTAAAAACCATAAGCAGTCTTCTGATTTAATTTAGCTATAAATGCAAAATTTAGTAGTGTATACATACATTTATATTTCCATGGAATATTTATTTTAAATAAAAACATTTAAGATTGCCTACTGACCATACAATCAAGACAAGAAAGGCACTAGAAACATAGACAAATTTCTCTCCCAAGAAGCATTTTTAAATTTTAACTCTTTTCTCTCCAACATGTAAAAATCTTTAAATTTGGTTTTCATAACATTATTTTGAAAAATAAAGTTAGGAAATACTTAGAAAATCACTTTATAACAGAATCTTTTTTTTTTTTTTTTGCACTTTTTGACACACTCTCTCCGCTGATTTTTACAAAACCCAAAGTTACCAAACCTTTCTGTGTCTGTCATTTTTATTTGAATATCGGTGCAACAGGTAGAAAGATTTCAGAATCGAACCCCATTCAGGTACTTAGAAACCTTCATAGAGACATTTGCTAGAAAATGGCTTACAGCCCAATCTTTGGGGCAAGAGATATGAAAAGTATGTTTTCCCAAGAAAATAATACGCTTTATTTCCAGATGTGCCTGGAAAGACCAGAACTGATGATATAAAAGCTTACATTTATGCTGTTGCATCATATACAAAGGAACATGGTGGTCGCAGGTTATGGAAATCCCAAACTTATGAACAGGAAAATGTGTACAGTGCATGATAGGTTAAATTTTCTTTATTGTTGTCCAACGCAGGTCCTTTGGAGAGAAAAAAAGATCACAGTGCTGACCAGGTAACTCAATAGGTTAAGTCCAGGTAACTTTTGAAAGAGAACAGGATCAGGGAGGTGTTTGTTTATGGCATCTTCTCTCATGGAGTTCTTAGCACTTCAGACAGCTCCTCGCTCCCCGGCCTTGCGCGGCTGTTATGTGTCGTTCACCAAGCGGCTGTATTTCACTTGTCTGCCGAGGTGGACGACTGGCCAGGGGAAGGGCCAATGGTAAGAGCGAGGTACGATTCCTTGGACATTCTTTTCAAAGTACTGAAACGGCCTGTACCACCACACCCTAGCCAGGAGGTTCATCTGGGAAGCTTCTTTTAGCACCTAGGAGAACAAGGGCAGGAAAACCACGTCAGGGGGAAGGAGCCACTGTCCGCGCCCCAAAAGGAACACGCACGCTTTGCTAACCACCTTCCACCTAGAGTTTAGATGGTTTCCTTACTCCTTATTCCAGTTCGCAAAGGACCCCAGACCCGCCCCATGGGCCCTGCGTGCCCCCGTTACACGCACTTGGCCACTCTGTGTTCCTCTGCTAACTGGGCCACACCCCAGCAGGAAGACAAGCCAATTCCGGGAGCGCACGGACAACACAGGCCTTACTCCATCTCTCATCCACACATGTATCCCTCAATCAGTGTTTCGGTGACTTTCTGCGATGGACGTTCAGGACTCAGCTGGGTGCGGGGGGATGGAGACCAGGCAGCTGGTGGGTGCAGCCGGTGGGCACAGCTGGGACATTTGTCAGGGGCGGTGGGAGGGCGGCCCTTGCTCTAGAAGGATGCTATGTCCGTGTCGCTGCACTCACACATTCCCTGTTCGCTTACAACCCAACCTTAGATGCCGGATGGCCCGCCCCCTCCCCCTGCTGTGTGGGCACCGCCGGGCCGGGGGGGGGAAAGAGACGCTGCAATCCCACAAGGAGGGACACTCACTTGCTGATTGGCCATCGTGTGGTACCACCAGAAGAGTCTCGTGGTGATGTAGTAGGCCACCACCACGTCCACAGTGTAGTGGTCATGCGCCAAGAGGATGCAGAAGATCCCAACCACGCTGAGCAGCCAGCAGATCCAGTGGTACCACCAGAGTCGTCGAGGGGAATCTGCAAAGACGAGACACTCACCATAGCCCCATCATCCCAGCACCTCTAAGGGCACCCAACCACGCCTCTATGACCGCTTCTGCACCCAGTGACTCTGACCTTTCCTTCTGGAAACATGTCATGTGGGCAGCAAATCTAAAGGCTTTAGCTTCTACATAACCAAGGCAAGAATGGCAGTAGCTTATTTTATGATTTTATCAGCGATTGTAGTTTATGTTTGGTTATTGCTTGATTCATATAATCATAAAATACAGCTTAAAAGGGCAACGGACAGCATAATGCATCATGCTCTATTAAAAAAAAAACAAACACAAAACTGTCCACTGACATTTAAGTCAATTTACTTGTAAATAATTTGGGGTTAATGCTTTAAACACAAATCAATACCTTTTTTTTGGTCTAGAGATCCTTATACAGGGACAGTCATAATTGATACTGTCTTATTTGCTTTCCAAGCTCTGTGACCACACGCTAATCTGAAAGTCTTCGAGATTTCCATTTCTCAAATGGAAATAAGAAAGGATCCAGATGCCCAGGAATTTGGGTCCAAGTGCATTCAAAGGCAGGGCAGAGTCAGATAAACACCTGTCCATACCTCCATTTGGAAGGCCCCCTGGGCAGGGGGAAGCATCAAAATCTCTATGAATGCAGGCCTTCCCACCTTGTATTCTGGAAGAATGGGCTGAAGAGGGTCTGACATTTCACACAGGAATGTCATTTGTATGTGATCCATCTTTACTACCCAGGGGGAGGAAATTCACACTTTTATTGGATTCTCAAGGGGTCTAAGAACTAGTCGTCCATTTCAGCAGTATTTATCAAGCATCTCTATGTGCCTGGGACAGGAGATGCTCTAGCTACTGAGAACAACGAGTAAACAGGTGAAGAACCTACCCTGTAGGCAGATCCCTTCCCAGCATGGAGGAGAGACAATACAAAATAATTATAATAAATAAGTAAATTATGCGCTATGTTAGAAGGTATTAAATGCCAAGGAAAAATTAAGAAGTTCAACAGGAGAAGCAGGACCAGAAACAGAGAAGGGGAAGGGAGGTTTGCAGCTTTAAATGGAGTGGTCAGGGCAGGGGTGGGGACTCTATATTCCACCCCCAGGAGAATCTGTATTTGCACCCTAACAACACAACAACAGCAGATACCGTTCATTCCTCCTCACACAACTCTGCTGGAGCCCATGTATGCCATCTGTTTTCATTCCTACCACCTCTCCCTCAGCCACAGGGTGGGTACCAGTAGCTCATTCTAAAGATGAGGGAACCAAGACTTAGAGAGGTTAAAGGTGGTCCCCAAGGTCACAGAGCTCGTGGTAGCACCAGGACTCAAAATCCACGCTTGTGACCCCAGTCTTCCCAGCCTCCCAACATGGCATGCTGGGTTTCCTTCAAGGACAAGGCTTAGCCCCCACTGCAGTACAATCAGCAGGGGGTGGGAGTGCTCCCCCAGCCGGCTGCACCGGGCCTGCGTAGCCCCCAGCGCCATGGCCAGCTCGCCCCAGCGCAAGGGCAAGATGGCACCCTGGCAGTTCTGAACAGAAACTGTCAGAATTCACTCTACTTGGTCACATGCCAAGCGCGAGTGGAAGAACACCTACACTTCCTTCTCCCGGTGCCCTGCAGCACATCTCCTCTTCTCCTGTCTTCCCTATCTTAGTTGAAGACCAAAACTGGCCCGGGACACCTGGGGGGCTCAGTCAGTGAAGCGTCTGCCTTCGGCTGGGGTCGTGATCTTGGGGTCCTGGGATCGAGTCCCGCATTGGGCTCCCTGCTCAGGGGGGAGTCTGCTTCTCCTTCTTCCTCTGCTGCTCCCCCTGCTTGTGCTATGTCAAATAAATAAAATCTTAAAAAAAAAAAAAAGACCAAAACTGGGCTTTCAAGCCTTCAGTCTTCAGCTGTCTCCTGTGCTCCCGGCCAGCCCTGCTCTCTGCGGACTCATTTGTGGACCTCTCTCCGTTCCCTCCGCGTCTTGCCAACGCCAACGCCAACGCCATCACGGTGGTTCGGGCCACCCCACGTCTTCCCCGGATTACGGCAGCAGCCGGCCCCCTCCACCCATCCTGCACCTGCCCCAGCAGTGGTTTCCCCTCCGGAGGAGGAGGAGGAACAGGACAGCACGGTCCCATCCCTGAGAGAACGGAAGTTCGGACTCCTCACGGTTTCAGGCACGCTCCATGACCTGGTTCCTACTTAACGGTTCATCTGTGACTTCTCACCACTACCACCGCTCTGAATTCCAACCACACCAATGTTCCAGACGGTGCCACACGCTCACTCCCAAGACACGTCCCGACTGCAGTGTGTGCGGCCCTCTTCCAAGGTACCGACAGCCCGGGTCTGCTCACTATTCTTCATGGAAACTGCCTGAATAATGCCCATCGGGACTGTTTCTAACAGTAAAATACTGAGGACAACTGCGTTTTCTACAAGGAGAAAAGATAACCTGTGGTTCATTACAATGCGCCAGAGCCTCACGTCTCACCGACTACATCCGCGAGAAAACAAGCCGGAGGACTACAGAGAACATAATACCATTATGTGGATTTGACAAACCCTCACACCATGACACGCAAGCACCAAAACATGCATGGACATGACACGGGAAAATGGGAGGAGAAGGAATGAAGGGCCTTAATCACCTAGTTACATTTTGTTTTTTAACGGGTTAAACAAAACAGACACAGCAAATGCTACTATTAAGCCTGGGCAGTGGACAGGGGCATATTTAGTATTATTTTTTGTGTGTCTCATAATAAAATATTTTAATGCCTTTTTTTAAAGGGAATTTCCCGTTCAGTGCCCGCCTCCTTTAGTGTCCCTGAGCCCACATCACCGAGCCCCTTCTGTCCCCACGGCTTAGGGCAGAGGGCCAGGAACTTGAAAACACCTGGTCTATGATCACGTCCTACCAGGCCTGACGCTGGAGTCCTGTGGTCTTAGGAGATTTCCTTCTGGCTCCTTCCAGGGGCTCTAACACATCCCACATGCTACGCTGACACTCGAGGGAACAAGTCCCTCCCCACCCCCTATACACACACACACACACACACACACACACACAGACACGGCTCACTCTGGGGGCCCCTGTGTCTGGGCGCAGTGGGGAGAGGAGGTGCCGCCCTCTTGCAGGGGACTCCGCAGAGACCGGGGGACATGACAGATGTCATGGAAGGCTGCCGTGGACTTACACTCTTTGATAAATAAGTAGGTGAGTGTGAGCATGACCGTGTGGCCGCTGTACAGATAGTCCCCGCACATGTTGTGAGAACCAGTGATGGACAGGCCACCGCCAGCGATGAGCTTCATTATTCTCCGCAGTTGGGCTTCCCAGTCTCCAAAAAGCTGATGGGAAAAGAGAAAACAAGATTCGTTATTGGCCCACATGGAAATGCGCCAAGATTACTACTATTCAGAATTAAGCTTTCTGATACGGTGATTTCTAATCAGAAATATATACTTGGTCTCTGATTTCATTCTGCTGGCACAACCTTGGGAATTTCCTGAGATCAAGGTGCCTTTCTTTGGTTATTCCTCATAAGGCCCTTTCAACACACCTGAGCGCCTGTTAACAAGGTGGGTCTGGGAAAGCCCCAAAGGATGGGGGCTGGATGCCAGCAGAACCCACCAGGCTGTCAGGGGGCTGGGCCTCCAGGGAGGGGAGAGGGGCTGGAGGCTGAGTTAATCACCCATGGCCAACAGCCTCATCAATCCTGCTGACGTAATGAAGCCTCCACAAAAATCCTAAAGGATGAAGGTTCAGAGAGCTCCCAGGGTGGTGAAAGAGTCGAGATACGGGGGTACTGGGAGGAGGGGCGCACCCGGACAGGGAAGGGAAGCTCTGCACCCCTTCCCACACACCTCGCCTGGCACATCTCGTCCATTTGGCTGCCCTAAGTTATATCCTCTTAGAATACAGTGGAAATCTAGTAAGTAACGTGTTTTCCTGAGTTCTGTGAGCAACATTTAGCAAATTAATCAACCTGAGGAGGAGTCACAGGAACCTCCAATTTATAGCTGGGGGGTCAGAAGCCCGGGGACAACCCGGACTTGGGACTGGTGTCTGAAGCAGGAGGTGGGGACAGTCAGTGTGACACGGAGCCTTTAGCCTCTGGGATCTGATACTGTCCCCAGGGAGCCAGTATCACAGTGCATTCCCCACATCTGGCCAGAGAAGTGCTTGGTGTGGGCAATGAGCACAGAGGAGAAGCACGGGAGTGTTCTGCCTTCACGAGCTCATGCTGAGATACATAAGACCCCACCGTGAAGTCTGCCGCTCAACGTTCACTGTTCTTCGGACAGCGCTCAGAAGGGGTCTGGTCCTAGAGATAAAGCATGTGGCCTCGGAACGTTCCTTCGATGCTGGCACTTTCTATAGCACATTTCAGCAGACGCTAACCCAGCTTTTAAAATTACACTGATAGAGAAAGAGTCATTGATTGATTTACTACCAGAGCCAATTTGGGAAAAATATCTAGGAAAACTTCCAGTGCTCAGCTTGGGGACAACTCTTTCGCTAACTTAGCTGAAGTGCCGGAGACTGGAGCAGTCAATTGCAAGAAGACTTTGGTTTGTGATATTCGGCGACCAAACCGAGACAAGGGACTGAGGTGGATGTGCCTTCAGTCTTCTGAAATTATTATGTGGGTAGAACTGCATGTTTTTCCCTTTTAATAAGAGTGAGAAAAGTTCATAAATAAATCTACGCGTCTCTGACACACATCTGGGCCACACACTGGACTCGTAAGTGGCTTAAACAACTCACTCACTGCAATTCTTATTTGCTCTGTCAAACGAAATGTGTGCCTGTCTGTATTTTATGCTTGTCAGCACACTTTTAAAGTTCTGATTAGTTGCCCAATTTAATCACCATGATCCTTTTCAGCATCTCACTGATGATATTCCAGGCTTTGGGAAATACATGTTCTATTACAATCTCCCTTTAAAAAAATGTATCCAGATTTCTACTTAAGGACGGTGGGTTGAACACACCACAGAGAGGGTATGGATTTTCACATTCAGAAGGTCAGTGAACATAGCAGGAGACCCCAACACCTCTAGAAATTAAAAACAAGCTTCATACAAAGGATCAAGAGTCAGGCTTTTTCAAAAACAATACGGGAAAACAGAAGGCTTTGGAAGAATGCATCCAAATTCTGTGGGAAAATGATTTCCAACTTAGAATCCTATACCCAGCCATATTACTAACTGGCCCTACAGTAAAGGATAAACTAAAGCCATTTTCACACACACAAGATTTCACAATATTTACCACCTATGTACTCCTGTTTTCAGGGAATTACAAGGATACGCTCTATAAAGCAAAGGAGTAAACACAGAAAAGAAGAGACGGGACCCGCGAGGATGCCAATGAAGGGAGAGCCCAGGGTGGACAGTGAAGGGGGCGAGTAGGTGTGCAGGAGGGTCGCCCTGGAGGAGGTGCCACCAACAGAGCCCACTGCCTCCGACAGCACTGAATAAAAGAGTTACCACGTGGGGATGAATGTGTGTGCACAAAGACAACTAAGAAAGCGAAAAGCAAGGCAATCACCAACTCTACAGGAAACAAAATACTGTGCAGAAAAGTAATCACAGGAAACAACATGAGTTGGCTACAAAGGGCATTTACAAACTCATAATGTAAGCACCGAGTATGGAGTTAGAACAGAAAACTAGACTGGGAAGAGGGGACAGGAAGTGTGACGGCCTGTGGTGGGACAGGGTGGGGCAGAAAAGGCACCGAACTGGGGCTGGGGCATCGAGGACCCTCAGTTCTGGCCTTCCTTGTAGGACATCACTAAGATTTCCATCAGAAAAATAAATAGAACTGCCATGTCATTTACACACTTACACACACACACACACCTGTAAAAAGTGAAAAGATGGGAAGGTAAACACCACTAGATTCAGTTAAAAGAGCTGAAAGTGAGTTAGGGACGTAGGCTGGAGTTGGGTCAGGGTTGGGGGGCTAATGTTTTTCGTAACAGCTTCTGCAGAACCATTTTGTATTTTCAATTGTATACATGTATATACATGATAAAAAATTTTTTAAAGGTTTAAATTGAAAGTTTGGCCCAGTTCTAGCATAACAATGGATAAAGAAGAAAATAATGGCAAAAAAACATAGGTAGGGGCGCCTGGGTGGCTCAGTCGTTAAGCGTCTGCCTTCGGCTCGGGTCATGATCTCAGGGTCCTGGGATCGAGCCCCGCATCGGGCCCTGCTCTGCGGGAAGCCTGCTTCTGAACCTCTCCCACTCCCCCTGCTTGTGTTCCCTCTCTCGCTGTGTTTCTGTCAAATAAATAAATAAAATCTTTAAAAAAAAAAATTAGGTAGCTTTTCATTTTATATTATTTCAGATTGTCCTTCTAAAACTCTTTTTTTTGCACTAGAAATCCTATTCTCAGGCACCATCACCCCATAATTTGCCCTCCCGGTTTTTTTTTTTAAAGATTTTATTTATTTATTCATGAGAGACAGAGGGAGAGAGAGAGAGAGGCAGAGGGAGAAGCAGGCTCCCAAGGAGCAGGGAGCCTGATGCGGGACTCGACCCCAGGACCCTGGGATCATGACCTGAGCCGAAGGCAGACGCTTAACCATCTGAGCCACCCAGGCGCCCTGCCCTCCCGTTTTAGCATGAAAATATTCATGGGGAACTTGTGCGTGTAGGGAGGAGGGAGAAATTACAAGGTAAACATAGCATCGAGAGAAAAAAAAAAAAGCCAGAAATCAATGCTGCATTTCTTACTAGTGCCCTTAAAACTCCTAAGCTTTATTTTAAAACTTTTCATGTCAGTCAAATCTCTGCAAGGGGAGCAGTCTCTTTAAGCTTTAGTGGGAAGCGGGAAAAGAAGACAGATGGCCACGTAAAAAATTTTAATTATGTTTAAAAAAGCAAACAAAGTACAAGACAAATCGCAAAACAATTGAGCAGAAACAAGTTACCATCTTTTTCCTGTGCACCACACCTGTCAATCAAGTAAATCAGACCAGCGTGGGAAACAAAATTTATCAGCGGACAAAGGATATGAGCAACTGGAGGTAGAGACTGTGTCAAACAAACAGAAATACAAAGGGACATTGACAGGAGCTCACTGTTCCCTTGGCCGCCGGGGGGTTGGGGGGGGAGGCAGGCACAGGGTCGCCCATCTCCTCAAAGTGGCTCCCTTAGGAGGAGGGGACACACTGGATGAGGCTGCCGGGGGGCAGGGAGAGGACAGGTGAGGCCTCTGCCACTTCGCTGTGTGACCCCAGGGGGCTGGACCGGTCTAACCCTCAAGCCCCTCACCTACAGCCTGGGGAGTCATGGCTTTATTACGATCGGCAAAATCCCCCGCAAAACTCATCATCAATACTGAAGAGCAATCTCAACAGCACGGCCTGTGACCTAGATGTCTACCTCAAAGAAAGGACCCCACATAGGAAAGAAAGCTTTATGTACAAACACTGTAATATTATTTATAAATGCAACAAACTGGAAACCATCTACCCAGGGATGGATATTAACTAGCTGTTCCTTTGCTATTCAAAGCCCAGGCCCCACCCGTTCTGAAAACACCAGGAGTCCCTGTAAATAGCTCTGGGATGTACTGAACCAGAACCGAGGGGACGCACTGGACTCACACTATAGGGATTCAAATGTACTGAACTAGGCTATAGTTTTGGGGTGTTTTTTTTTTAAGATTTTTTATTTTTCATTTGAGAGAGTGAGAGAGCATGAGCAGAAGGGGCAGGGCAGATGGAGAGGGAGAATCGGACTCCCCACTAAGTGGGGAGTCCAATGCGGGGCTCCATCCCAGGTCCCTGGGATCATGACCTGAGCCGAAGGCAGATGCTTAACTGACTGAGCCACCCAGGCGCCCCTATTATTGCTTAATAAATTATGAAAAAATAAGTTCACAATGCCTGTGCAGTAAGCTTATATCATAAACATTTTCTCCTCTTGAGGACAACACAAAACATTTGGTATAATTAACTATGCTTTTTTTAAAAAAGTCTAGAATGTACATTCCACATGTTAACAGGGTTTGTATGGAAGTTGGCAGGATTTCTCCCAGTCTCTGTCCCAAAGGGACTTCCATTACTGCTCCTTGGGCTGGAAAGGGAGGGACTGCCTTGGAAGTCCGCAGTTCTGGGATTCAGGTTGCCTTGGAGTGCAGGCAGGACATATGGGAAGAAAAAAAACAGGACACTCTTGGCTTATCTCTCACACTTCTCATTTTGGTTTCCTTCCCCAGTCTGCCTGCTACTATTTTTTAGTGTCCTCTAAACACCGCTCCATACATTCTATCTAGTGTTTCTGACTTGCATTCAGTGGGAAACAGCATGGAGTGTGCTTCCTCCACTG